CTGAAGATCATGCGTGTAGAATAATTTTGGTGAAATGTGCTTCGTTTTATCTCCTTTTATATATCTCCCTTTAATTGGGCTACACATGCAGCATTGTCTTCGTATAAAATTGTGGATCTTTTATCACATTCCAAACAATATTTTCCTTGAATAAAATGAATCACTAATCTCAACCACACGCATTCCCTACTTGCTTCATGAATAGCTATTATCTCAGTATGATTTGAAGAAGTAGCAACAATAGATTGCTTTGTGGAACGTCATGATATGACAGTACCTCCACATATAAACACGTACCCGATTTGAGATCGAACTTTGTGTGGATCAGATAAATAATCTGCATCTATATAACCAATAAAATCTGCACTACCTTTGTTAGAATAAAATAAACCCATATCAAGTGTTCCCTTTACATATCGCAATATATGCTTAATACCGTTCCAATGTCTCTGTGTAGGAGAAGAGCTATATCTTGCTAGTAAATTAACAGAAAATGCTATGCCATACCTTGTAGCATTAGCAAGATACATAAGTGCACCAATTGCACTAAGATAAGGTATTTCGGGACCAAGGAGTTCCTCATCCTCTTCTGGAGGTCAGAACAAATCCTTATTCACTTCAAGTGATCGAACAACCATTGGTGTACACAATGTGTGCACTTTGTCCATATAAAAGCATTTTAAGACCCTTTTTGTATAGGCAAATTGATGGATAAAGATCTCGTATGCTAAATATTCAATTTGCAGACCAAGACAAACTTTTGTCTTTCCAAGATCGTTCATCTCAAATTCTTTCTTAAGAAATTCAATTGCCTTTTGGAGCTCTTTTGGAGTTCCAACAAGATTTATGTCATCAACATAAACAACAAGTATAACAAATTTTGATGCTATTTTCTTTATAAAAATACATGGACAAAAAACATCATTATGTAACCCTCTTTCAACAAATATTCACTAAGGCGGTTATGTCACATACGCCCAGATTGCTTTAAACCATACAAAGATCTTTGTAATCTGATTGAATACATTTCCCGAGATTTTGGATTTGCTTCAGGCATTTTATGTCCTTCGGAGATTTTTATATAAATTTCATTATCAAGTGAACTGTACATATAAGCTATAACTACATCCATTAGATGTATTTCAAGCTTTTCATGTAGTGCTAAACTGATGAGATATCAAAATGTTATGGCATCTATAACAAGTGAATATGTTTCATCAAAATCGACTCCAGACCGTTGTGAGAATCCTTGTGCGACAAGGTGAGCTTTGTATCTTTTAATTTCATTCTTATTATTCCTTTTTCGCACAAAAACCCATTTATGACCAACTGTTTTTATACCAGTAGGTGTTTGAACTACTGGTCCAAAGACCTTTCTTTTAGAAAGTGAGTTCAATTCTGCTTCAATTGCCTCTTGCCATTTTGGCCAGTCAAATCTTTATCGATATTCCTCGATAGATCGGGGTTCAAGATCCTCACTATCTTGCATAATATTAAGTGCAACATTATATGCAAAAATATTATCCATCACTATTTCAGATCGATTTAAATTAATCCCTTCACCACTAGAACTTATTAAAAGCTTCTCACTCACTTGAGTCTCAGGTTCATTGATTTCTTCAGGAATCTCATAACTAATCAGATCTTGGGTCTTTTCAAGGGAACCCTTCATAGTATCGTTTTGATTATTTGTTGATTTTTTTTCCCGAGGATTTCGATCCTTAGAACCCAAAGGCCTACCACGCTTCAGGCGTGCTTTAGGTTCAGTAGCTCTCATGCTAGTAGATGGTCCTGTTGGGACATCAATTCGGATAGGCACATTTCCTGCTGGGATATGTAACTTAGTTATCCTTTTCAAATCAGTAAACGCGTTTGGTATTTGATTTGCTATATTTTGTAAATGGATAATCTTCTGGACCTCCTGATTACATATATGGGTACGTGGATCAAAATGGGATAATGATGAAACTTTCCACACAATTTCTCTTTTGATTTCCTTTTTCTTTCCCCCTAATTGTGGAAAATTTATTTCATCAAACCGACAATTTGCAAATCGAGCAGTAAATAAATCTCCCATCAATGGTTCAAGATAGAGAATAATAGATGGTGATTCAAACCCAACATATATTCCTAATCTTCTCTGCTTGCCATCTTACTGCGCTGTGGTGGTGCTACTGACACATATATAGCATATCCAAAATTTGTAGATGGCCAATATTTGGTTCATGACCAAAAACTAATTGTGACGAAGAATATTTATTATAATGTGTCGGTCTGAGACATATAAGTGATGTTGCATGCAAGATAGCATGGCCCCAAACAATAATAAGCAATTTTATATTCATAAGTAGTGGTCTTGCTATCAATTGCAGGCGTTTAATAAATGACTCAGTAAGGCCATTTTGAGTATGAACATAAGCTACAGGATGTTCAACTTTTATCCCAACTGATAGACAATAATCATCAAAAGCTTGCGATGAGAATTCTCCAACATTATAAAGGCGAATAGCCTTTATAGGATAATCTAGGAATTGTGCCCTTAATCGAATTAATTGGGCTAATAGCTTTGCAAACGCCAGGTTGCGGGATGATAGTAGGCACACATGAGACCATCTTGAAAATGTATCTATTAGGACCATAAAATATCTAAATAACCCACTTGGTGGGTGAATATGCCCACATATATCCCCATGTATACGTTCTAAAAAGGCAGGGGATTCAATGCCAACCTTCATTGGTGATGGTCTAGTGATCATTTTGCCTTGATAACAAGCATCACAAGAAAATTTATTATTTGTAAGAATCTTCAGGTTCTTTAGTGGATGCCCACTCGAATTTGTCTCATCATTATTGATCCAGGATGACCCAAACGGCCATGCCAAAGCACAAAAATATTTGAATCAATAAACTTCTGGTTTACGATAAAGTGTGCTTCAACTGTACTAATCTTTGAATAGTATAAGCCAAAAGATAAAGTTGGTAACTTTTGTACAATACACTTCTGGCCAGAAACATTCTTTGTAATACAAAGATATTCCATATTCATTTCATCTATCATATCAACATGATGCCCATTTCGGTTGATATCTATAAAACTCAACAAGTTTTTTCGGGACTTGGAGGAGAATAATGCATTGTCTATTATAAGTTTTGTCCCCTTAGACATAAATATAGTGACTCTTCCGGAGCCTTCAATCAAACTTATATTACTAGAAATTGTTGAAACATTTGCTTTTTCCTTATGTAAATAAAAAAATTATTTCTAATCTTTGAATATGGCATGAGTTATTCCACTATCAATTACACAGATATCTTCATGATCGGTCTTTAATCCAAATATAATTTGAGGATTATCCATATTCTTTAAAATGACATAAACAAAATAAATATGATAATAAACATCATTATCAAAGCATAACTTTTATTTATGTACAACAATTATATAACCATACTATCTACTACAAATAACAAAAATTAAAATATTTACATCTCTACAGATTTATCACCGATCACATGACTTGTTTCTCCTTCCATGAGTGCAAAGTAATCAGTTACATCCTAATGCATGAAGTATAAATTCTCTTCAGAAAATAAAATTTTCTTCAGCATTTTTCTCTGTCTTCTTCAGGGAGTCTTGATGTATCTCAACCAGATGCTTTGACGTACGGCATGTACATGACCAATGCCCTTTTCCTCTACATCTATAGCATGCATTTTCTGCGTTTGCTGTTTGCACCGCTTCATACTTTTGTTCCTTCCTTTTTCACTGCTGGTGGTGAGTGAGGTTCTGTGGTGCATTATTATTACCATGATTAGTGTTTCTTCCTCGACCACGGCCATGACCACGACTGGAGCCACGTCCTCTTCTACGCTTAGCTTGGTGGAAGTTCGTCTCATTCACTTCAGGGAATTGACAAGAACCAGCAGGCCGACTTTCATGGTTTTCATTAATAGCCCACTATGTTGCTCGGCTACAAGAAGATGTGAGATAAGTTCAGAATACTTTTTGAATCCCATCTCTCGATATTGCTGCTGCATGAGCGTATTCGAGGCATGAAAAGTGGTGAAAGTTTTTTCCAACATATCATGATCAGTAATATTATCATCACATAGTGTCAATTGGAAAATAATTCCGAACATAGCAGAATTATACTCACTGATAGATTTAAAATCTTATAGCCTTAGATGAGTCCAATCCTAACGTGCCTGTGGAAGAACGACCATCTTCAGGTGGTCATATCTATCTTTCAAATTATTTCACAGTATGATTGGATCTTTAATAGTGAGATATTCCATTTTCAAGCCTTCATCAAGGTGATGTCGTAGGAATATTATTGTTTTGGCACGGTCTTGGTTTGATACTTGATTTTTGTCCTTGATGGTGTCTGCCAGACCCATTGCATCAAGATAAATTTCAGTATCAAGAACCCAAAACATGTAGCTTTTGCCCGATATATCCAGGGCTACAAATTCAAGTTTAAAAATATTTGACATTATTTAGAAAAAGAAAGTTCGTACCTCTGATACTTTCAAAGTATTTGCTCGAGATGACAGAGTCTCGTAATGATAACATGTTATAAAACAAAGACTATAAAGTAAAGACAAGTATAGAGAGAACCTGATATATTATTCAAACTTCAAACTTATGTATATAATGAACTGAAATCTCCTCTATTTATAGAAGAAAGCAAGCTGCTGTGTAAGTTGCCTCTGCAAACTGCTGTGTAAGGTGCTACTCTACCAAATATAAATAATCTTCTACCGGGATAATATTTATCGAGATAATCTTCTACCGAGTGTGATGTTTATCTATAACGTAGTACTGAAAGGATAATCTCATTGTACGAGATATAGATAATATTTTAACTGAGTGATATTTATCCATAATAGAGTATCGAAAGAATAAGCTTATTGAGTAGACTTATTTGCGTACTAAATAGATTAAGTGTGGTATACATAATCTTGTGCATGAAGCTTATTTACGATAACAAACCTGTTATTACCCTCCTTTTAATTTTCCTTCGAGTTAAAGTTTACACCTCTGCTCAACTCCAATCTTATCTCTCTCTAAATCAATCAATGGAGTCATTGGCAGCTTCATTCTCAGCTTCCACCACCACCATCCTCAATTCCTCTTCCAAACTCCACCACCACCCACCTCGACGTTTCCGCTTCCTCTCCCTCTCCCTCCCCATCTTCCACAAATTCAAAACATGCCCCAAATTTTCCTCAAAATTCCCAAATCATCTCAATCTTCTAATTGTCCGAAGCTCCAGTTCCAGTTCCATCACCGCTAAGCCGTCCCCGGAATTTCAGAAAAAGGGTGGTAGCGACCGTAAAGAGGAGGATAACAAGCTTCGTGCTCTTCGTGAGCTCTTTACTAAGCCTGGTGTTAACGTTGATGCTTATATTATTCCTTCCCAAGATGCCCATCAGGTTGTATTTTATTGCTTTTCTTGAATTCACAGTCCCTCAATTTTTTTAGTAACCCCAGTTTGCGATAAAGTTATGCTTGTTTCAATTGTTATGTCAATTGTAGGCTCTTGGCTTTGGCTTTTGTGTAGCGTAGTTTTGAAAAGCCTAATGACTTTTAGAAGTATTAATGATATTCCTATGAGTGAGTTTGGTAATTCAGTTTAAAGATAATGTTGCTATATTGGTACTAGAGCCTGCTGATTTGCAATATACATCATCAACAAAAACAACAAATCCAGTGTAATCCCATAAGTGGGGTCTGGGGAGGCTAGTGTGTACGCAGACCTTACCCCTACCTTATAAAGATAAAAGGTTGTTTAAAAAAAAGAACCTATTGATTTGCAATATCTGTTCATTTTGGTAGCTGTTATTCAAAGATTTGTGTTTCTAAAGAATTGCCGCTTTCTTACCATATCAAAAAAAGAAAAGAATTGCCGCTTTCTGTTTAGATCAAGATTTGCTATTTAATTAGGCAACACCTTCTTGACATTTTTAAGTGGTCATCTGATGCATATGAGTTTCGTGGCATATCAAACTTTTAGTGATGTGTTTTTATTGTATTGACTTGATTCGTGACAACGTGTAGATAATGAATCTCCTGGTTTGTTAATCCTTTTTCTTGGGAAAGGTAGTAAGTAATTTTTGGGACTATCTAGTGGTTGGGAAGGCACGTAACAAATTAAATGAACTATGTATTACCTTATTTTATGAGTTTTACTAAATTTGAATTGCTCTTATTTGTAGAGTGAGTTCATTGCAGAATGTTATATGCGAAGAGCCTATATATCAGGATTTACTGGAAGTGCAGGCACTGCGGTTGTAACCAAAGATAAAGCAGCCTTGTGGACAGATGGACGATACTTCTTACAGGTTTGTATTATGTGCAGTGCAGCTTTAGTTTTACTGATCATTTGTCTAAAGGAAGCAAACTGAACAGTTTGGTTGGTACCCTTTGTCGGTATCTGTTGTCTTCTAATTGGTTTTTTCTTCTGTTTGGTGTTTGTAAACAGGCTGAGAAGCAGTTGAACTCGAGTTGGGTTCTCATGAGAGCTGGTAACTTGGGGGTGCCTACTCCTAGTGAGTGGCTTAATACTGTCCTAGCACCTGGTTGCAGGATTGGAATAGATCCCGTAAGTAATGCTCAAATATGCTTTCAGATTTGTGCATTTGTTTTAAGTTCCAGTAAAATCAAGTATTGGAATGAAAACATGTATACTTATAGGGAGAAGTCAGACGTATTCCTCAATTTGTCAGCGAGTTCACATATTTTCATATTTCTGCTCATGCCTGGAGAATGGGTATGACTCCCCCCTCTCTCCCTTCGACCATTCATCATATTGCCCGTTCTATGTTCCACGGTTGGGTTAGTCCAAAACATGACTTGTTTATTTTTTGAATTGGGTTAGTCCAATACTATTTCATCTCTTCTAGTTCAAAACTTCAAATTCGTCAATCTTGCGAACATTTTTCTATTTGAGTTGACTGCATCATAAATAACCTTGCATTTTCTTTCCTCTTATATCAGTTCTCTTTGTTTTGGTGAAGGGAGCAGTTTCTTTTTTCATCTGATGCTGCAAAGGAATTCAAAGAGGACATTTCTAAAGGAAACCATGAGTTGGTCTTACTGTATGATTTCAACCTTGTAGATGAAATATGGAAGGAGTCAAGGCCAACACCTCCAAAGGAACCAATTAGGTTGCATGACCTGAAATATGCTGGTGTAGATGTGTCGTCAAAGCTTTCGTCATTGAGATCTGAGTTAAGACATGCTGGTGCATCGGCAATTGTTATCTCCATGCTTGACGAAATTGCGTGGCTATTGAACTTGGTAATCCTCTTTACTTGTTCTTTAAAATCTTTGTTAAGTTTTACTTGGTCAAATGTGCACAAATAGATCATTTTTAACCCAGATTCCTTCTTGTATGAGATTTTTTGGTCTGAGGTATAGGAAGAAACTATCCTTCAGTTGTTTTAAATCAGGTTAATTTGGACAAAAAGTAAGCCTATCAATAGTTTTTACATCTGATAATCTTAATCAGTTGAAAATGGAGCTCGGATGAGTTCCATTTCAGCATAATTTTCCTTTTAGCTTTGTCTCTATCTTCCTCTTCAAATTGTGTTTTCTTAATTTCCAATAATGGCATAGCTTCAATAACAATATCTTGAATATGTTACACTTAAACTCTAATATAGAGTTTTCCTTTTTTATTCTTGATAAGTTTATAAGACTATTAATCAATATTCTATGATTAATAATTGGGTTATCAGTTAAATTTCAGGAAACCAACTTCATTCTGATTACCAAATTTAGTATTTCTAAATCTTGACGTTAAAAAGTTTTTTTCAAGATTATCTCTGGCAGTATTCACCTTATGAGAAAAACTCTGGTGATTATGTATTATATATGCTAGCACATCAAAATATTTAAATGACGACATAGATGTAGTTTGATTGTTTCATCAAAAGAAAAAAAGATATAGTTTGATTGGTGCTTCGACATTCAAGATCTTTGATTTTTGCCTGCACACTGATTAGTCCTTTGAAAAGATGAGATTAGCATAGAAATATGGTTTTTTAGTGGAATATTTGATTTTGATGGCCCTATTAATAGTTAGTTAGTGGATTCGTTGTAATTTTAATGGCTAATAATTTTCTGTCTTCAAAGAATATTATTTGTTAAACTTCCAATAGTGGTTCTAGTTTCTAGTCCTCAAGGATATTTATAACATTGGAAGGCATATGTCAAGATTTCAACGATGCACAGCAAGGTTCTTAGCATGCTTTGGCTTGCAGTTGAATGATGACTTAAATTTCTTTCAGTTGCCTTTTTTCTTATTTAAGCTGCTTATTTGTTTAGTTATTTACTTGTGTCTCCAGAGAGGTAATGATGTCTCACATTCACCAGTCATGTATGCATACTTAGTTGTGGAGATAGATGGAGCAAAATTGTTCGTTGATGATACTAAAGTAACACCTGAAGTTATGGAGCACTTGAGAAATGCTGGCATAGAATTGAGAGCATATGAATCCATTCTCTCTGAAATTGAAAGGTGACTTTGAAGCATTAGGAATTTTTTTTTTTTTTTTTTTTTAAAAAAAATTTTTGAATTGCAAAATTTGTCTTCTCGTCAACAGTTCTATGCCTTGTATTTGGTATCACTCTGGCAAGAACAACTGCAGTGAAAACTGCCGCCCGAGAGAAGCTTGCATATATATTAATCTCAGCATTTGAGTGTTCAACTCTACCAAGCAGCATCCTAGACTTAAATGCTAATGGAGATATTTTGCATGCTGCAATTATGTTGGTCCCTGTTTCTAGTAGAAGAAACTCTTCAACAACCAAAGCATTAGTAATATGCGTGCTTTTGGAGAGAGTTTCTCCGTGATAAAATTTGATCCAGAATTTCCCTTTTCAGTTTGGCAGCAAAAGGGGCAAACCTTTGGTTGGACACTTCATCAGTCAATGCTGCTATTCTAAATGCATATGAATCAGCTTGTTACAAATATCCTTGGAAATCTGCAACTAAAAGCAGGAGGAAGAAGACTGTCAACCTTGATTCCGATGGTCAATCTGGAGGACCATGTGCAGTCTATAGGAGTTCTCCTGTATCTCTGCGTAAAGCTGTAAAAAATGATGCCGAGTTAGAAGGGATGCGTAACTGCCATCTAAGGTAATGGAAAATCCAATCCACCCCTTTAAGCATATGTCAATTGTCAATAACTACTGCCTATTATCTCACCATCTATATTTTCAAAAGCATACTATTTCACCACTTCACACTCTATAAGTGATGTTGCTGCCATATAAGTCCGCCAACACTTTCATTATGCCTTCCACAAACCTCCTCCATGAGGTAGTCTAATATATTTTGTTCTCCATCCTCCCTCTTGCGTTCCATTTTTGTCCAAAATGACTTTTCTCCAGAGAGATAGCTCCTCCATGTCAAACCTGCATATCCTGATTGTAATCTACGTGAAGGTTTTACCTAAAAAAAATTAATAATAACAATAATAGTAATAATAATTAGGGTATAAGAATAATAGTATTAATGTCTGGATAACTTTGAATCAGTTTCCTCTACTCTATGGAAAACCATACTGCGACTTCTTTTGTTGTACGAGAGATGGTTGCATAGCTTTATAGCGATCATTCTTTTTTGTCCTTTTATGGTGAAGCATTATATACTTGCTCTGAGGGATTGCTACGTCTTATTCAAATATGGATGGCTTAGTAATACTTTAATGGATAATCAATCTGTTTTTTGATCAAGAATGGATAGTCAATCTGCATCTTCTGATGTAGGGATGCGGCTGCCTTAGCTCAATTTTGGGCTTGGTTGGAGGATGAAATCCAAAGGGATGTCATTTTGACAGAGGTAGAAGTTGCAGACAAACTTCTTGAGTTTCGATCACACCAAGNCCACCAAGATGGCTTTCTTGATACAAGCTTCGACACCATAAGTGGTATATTGGTTTCTACTATCATGATTGAGCTGAATTACGAAACTTAAATAGTAGTGAAAAGCTAGTGTTTGTCTTTGTGGACTTTATAGTGGATAATAATAGCAGCTTCTTCTCGAGTGAAGAAATATCAGAATATATANACACCAAGATGGCTTCCTTGATACAAGCTTCGACACCATAAGTGGTATATTGGTTTCTATTATCGTGATTGAGCTGAATTCCGAAACTTATATAGTAGTGAAAAGCTAGTGTTTGTCTTTGTGGACTTTATAGTGGATAATATGGCAGCTTCTTCTTGAGTGAAGAAAGATCAGAATATACATATATCAAAATTATATCCCATGCTTATCTATATTTCTTCCAATTCAGCTTCGACCACAGCTTTATGAACTTTAGAATGCTTTAGATCTGGTGGAGATAGAATTTTGTTACTTCGACTTTTGTTTTCCATATTTTCTGTTGATGCTTTCAGTAGGAGAATAATTATACTCTCTACATATATAGGTCTTCCTTTGGTTATCAAAAAAAAAATATAGGTCTTCCTTACATTCTTCTCAAAAAAATTATATATTTTGGTCTTCCCTCTTGTGCTTAAGCTTCTTATAGCTGAAGAGCTTTCACGACTTTGGGTGATCTGAATGTATTTTTGAATGGTCAAAGACAGTAGGAAACATTTGTACTCCCTCCCGTCCCAAACATTTCGAAAATCTAAAACATTAGTATTGGCTGGGAAAAGATGTGGGCCCTTATATTGACTTTTTGTGCTCTAAGGAGCAGAATATAGGAAAACCTTGTATTGGAAAGAAAAAAAAGTGATTCCAATAAAAGCTTTGGCTATATACTGTATTGGTATTTTCCTTTTGAGGAGAATTGTTAGTTTACATATATGTATAGTGTAGTCTTGTCCCACATTGGAAGAGGAGTAATATCTCCTTGTAGTGTATAACTATAAATAAGGACCTCTTGTATTGTATTTATCATCCAATATCAATAACATATTTTCTCCCGTGCCTTCTCACATGGTATCAGAGCATTAGTGAGAAAAGATCGTTGTGCGTCATTCCAGCGTTAACCGGGAAGAAAGAACTTAGTCATCGTGCAATTTTTCCGGTGACCTAAGGCTTATCTAAGTGAAAGTCACTTTTTGTCGGTGTTGTGCTAAAACCAACACCACCACGAGGTAGATCACCATCCGACTACCAACCCCTAAAATTTTATCCGGCAGAAGCCGCCATGCTCCTCCACGCGCCGGCAACAACTTTTCCAGCGAGGGTTCTGACCACTTTCCGGCCTTTTTTTCGCTAAGCTTCTTCAGGACAGTGTGCTCTCCTCAAAATTCCGAGCCTACCCATCTAATTCAAATCAAATTCCGGCACTTTTATATTTTTCCGGCGTGAACAGTGACCTTTCCGGACATTTTTTGAAAATATTTCTTCAGGACAGCTTGCTCGCAAAGGAATTCCGAGTCTATCCATCCTGGTTACGACAAATTCCTACAACTTTGGAATTTTCCGGCGAGCTACAGTGTTTCCGGCATGAACAGTGTGCCGGCACAGAACAGTGTTTTGTTTCCCTGCTGTAAACAGTGTTTTTCAAGCTATTTCTTCAGTTTTCTCATAGGAGTTACTTATTTCCACTATTTCAAGTTAACCCTACTACTACAAATTGTAGCGATATGGGAACCAATGCTTTGAATAGTCGGATGGTTTCTTTAGCAGAGTATATTGAGTTTCTTCAGTATAAAGCATGTAAGCAGACATCTTCTGAGATAGCTTCTGTTGTTCAAACAGGTAATAGCGTGACTTGTTTCTCCCAATCTTCATCCTCTGAGTCTTGGGTCATTGATTCAGGTGCATCAGATCATATTTCTGGTAACAAATCTCTTTTCACTACTATTTCGTATTCTCAATCTCTTCCAAAAGTCACAATGGCCAATGGGTCTCAAACCATGGCAACTGCAATAGGTCAAGCAAGCCCACTTCCTTCCTTACCTTTAGATTCAGTCCTTTATGTTCCCAATAGTCCTTTTAATCTCATAGCTGTTAGTCGCTTAGCCAAATCACTTAAATGCGCTGTTTTATTTCTTGATGACCATGTTTTTATACAGGAACGCAGTACGGGGCGGATCATTGGTACCGGGCGTGAATCAAACGGACTTTATTACCTTATCCTTGCTAAATCACATGGACTCACATCTTGTCTTCCTTCTACAACTTGTCCTGTTACTGATTCACCAGATTTATTACATAAACGGTTGGGACATCCCAGTTTGTCAAAACTTCAGAAAATGGTATCTGGTTTATCTCACTTGTCAGCTCTAGAGTGTGAGTCATGTCAGCTCGGTAAGCATACCCGCTCCCATTTCCCTCGGCGTCTTGATAATCGAGCAGAGTCACCTTTTACTTTAGTCCATTCAGATGTTTGGGGTCCTAGTCGGGTCAGTTCCACCTTAGGATTCCGCTACTTTGTCAGTTTCATTGATGATTATTCTAGGTGCACTTGGATATTTTTGATAAAAAATCGATCTGAGCTGTTTTCTATTTTCCAGACCTTCCACGCTGAAATTCAAAATCAATTTGGGGTTTCTATTCGCACATTTCGTAGTGATAATGCCCGAGAGTATTTGTCTTCCCCATTTCAGCAGTTTATGAAATCTCATGGGATTATTCATCAAACATCTTGTCCGTACACATCTCAACAAAATGGGGTAGCTGAAAGAAAGAATAGACATCTTATTGAAACTGCTCGTACCCTACTCATACAATCTCATGCTCCGTTGCGTTTTTGGGGGGATGCAGTTCTTACATCTTGCTATCTTATTAATCGTATGCCATCTTCAGCTATCCAGAACCAAGTTCCATTCTCTGTCATGTTTCCCCACTTACCTTTGTTCTCTCTTCCACCCCGTATCTTTGGAAGCACTTGTTTTGTCCATAACCTTACTCCAGGAACAGATAAGTTAGCTCCTCGTGCTCTTAAGTGCGTATTTCTGGGTTTCTCGAGAACACAAAAGGGGTATCGATGCTACTCTCCTGACCTCCAGCGGTACCTTATGTCCGCTGATGTTACCTTCTTTGAAACCCAATCATACTTCACAGGTTCAGGTCATCACTTAGATATTTCTGAGGTACTACCAGTTTCATCTTTTGGAGATTCAGTCACTCCAGCTCCACCACCTACAGCTCCAGTTGTAGCTCCACCACCTATAGCTCCAGTTGTAGCTCTACCACCTATAGCTCCAGTTCCACCACCTACAGCTCCGGTTGTAGCTCCACCACCTATAGCTCCAGTTCCTCCACATAATCCAGTTCAACCTTCTGCAGCTCCACCATTCTTGACTTATCATCGTCGTCCACATCCAGCATCAGGCCCAGGTGATTCACGCCCCGCATCAGATTCTGCACCTACTGCGGACTTGTCTCCTCTTAGTCAACCAATTGCACTCCGCAAAGGTGTACGATCCACACTTAATCCTAATCCCCACTATGTCGGTTTAAGTTATCATCGTCTGTCGTCACCACATTATGCTTTTATATCTTCTTTGTCCACTGTTTCTATCCCTAAGTCTACAGGTGAGGCACTATCTCATCCAGGATGGCGACATGCTATGATTGACGAGATGTCTGCTTTACATGCGAGTGACACTTGGGAGCTTGTTCCTCTTCCTGCAGGTAAGTCTACTGTTGGTTGTCGTTGGGTTTATGCAGTCAAAGTCGGCCCGGATGGCCAGGTTGATCGGCTTAAGGCTCGTCTTGTTGCAAAAGGATATACTCAGATTTTTGGGCTTGATTATAGTGATACTTTCTCTCCCGTGGCTAAAGTAGCATCTATTCGTCTCTTTTTGTCCATGGCTGCTGTACGTCATTGGCCTCTTTATCAGTTAGACATTAAGAATGCTTTTCTCCACGGTGATCTTGAGGAAGAAGTTTATATGGAGCAACCACCTGGTTTTGTTGCTCAGGGGGAGTTTAATGGTTGTGTGTGCAGATTGCGCAAGTCACTATATGGTTTGAAACAGTCCCCTCGAGCTTGGTTTGGTAAGTTCAGCACAATTATTCAGGAGTTCGGCATGACTCGTAGTGAGGCTGATCACTCTGTGTTTTATCGGCATTCTGCTCCTAATCTGTGTATTTATCTAGTGGTTTATGTTGATGATATTGTTATTACTGGTAATGATCAGGATGGTATTACTAATCTGAAGGAACATCTCTTTCAGCACTTCCAGACTAAGGATCTGGGCAGATTGAAGTATTTTCTAGGTATTGAGGTCGCTCAGTCTAGCTCAGGTATTGTTATTTCACAGCGGAAGTATGCCTTAGACATTCTTGAGGAGACTGGAATGATGGGTTGCAGACCTATTGACTCTCCTATGGATCCGAATGCTAAGCTTCTGCCTGGACAGGGGGAGCCTCTTAGAGACCCTACGAGATATAGGAGGTTGGTTGGCAAATTGAATTACCTCACAGTGACTAGACCTGACATTTCTTTTCCGGTGAGTGTTGTAAGTCAGTTTATGGATTCTCCCTGTGATAGTCACTGGGATGCAGTTGTTCGCATTCTTCGGTATATAAAGTCAGCTCCAGGCAAAGGATTACTATTCGAGGATCGAGGCCACGAGCAGATTGTTGGGTACACAGATGCTGATTGGGCAGGATCACCTTTTGATAGACGTTCTACGTCTGGATATTGTGTTCTAGTAGGAGGTAATTTGGTCTCGTGGAAGAGCAAGAAACAGAATGTAGTTGCTCGATCTAGCGCCGAAGCCGAATATCGGGCCATGGCTATGGCGACGTGTGAGTTAGTTTGGGTCAAGCAGTTGCTCAAGGAGTTAAAGTTCGGAGAAATCAGCAAGATGGAACTAGTGTGTGATAACCAAGCTGCTCTTCATATTGCGTCAAATCCGGTGTTCCATGAGAGGACTAAACACATTGAGATCGACTGTCACTTTGTCAGAGAAAAAATACTTTCAGGAGATATTGTTACAAAGTTTGTAAAGTCGAATGATCAACTAGCAGATATTTTCACTAAGTCTCTTACTGGTTCTCGTATTAGTTACATGTGTAACAAGCTCGGTACATATGATGTGTATGCACCGGCTTGAGGGGGAGTGTTAGTTTATAGATATGTATAGTGTAGTCTTGTCCCACATTGGAAGAGGAGTAATATCTCCTTGTAGTGTATAGCTATAAATAGGGACCTCTTGTATTGTATTTATCATCCAATATCAATAACATATTTTCTCCCGTGCCTTCTCACATGGCATCAGAGCATTAGTGAGAAAAGATCGTTGTGCGTCATTCCAGCGTTAACCGGGAAGAAAGAACTTAGTCATCGTGTAATTTTTCCGGTGACCTAAGGCTTGTCTAAGTGAAAGTCACTTTCTGTCGGTGTTGTGCTAAAACCAACACCACCACGAGGTAGATCACCCTCCGACTACCAACCCCTGAAATTTTATCCGGCAGAAAAGCCGCCACGCTCCTCCACGCGCCGGCAACAACTTTTCCGGCGAGGGTTCCGGCCACTTTCCGGCCATTTTTTCGCGAAGCTTCTTCAGGACAGTGTGCTCTCCTCAAAATTCCGAGCCTACCCATCTAATTCAAATCAAATTCCGGCCACTTTTATATTTTTCCGGCGTGAACAGTGACCTTTCTGGCCATTTTTTGAAAATATTTCTTCAGGACAGCTTGCTCGCAAAGGAATTCCGAGTCTATCCATCCTGGTTACAACAAATTCCGACAACTTTGGAATTTTCCGGCGAGCTACAGTGTTTCCGGCGTGAACAGTGTTCCGGCGCAGAACAGTGTTCTGTTTTCCTGCTGTAAACAGTGTTTTTCAAGCTATTTCTTCAGCTACTACTACAAATTGTAGCGACATGGGGACCGATGCTTTGAATAGTCGGATGGTTTCTTTAGCAGAGTATATTGAGTTCCTTCAGTATAAAGCATGTAAGCAGACATCTTCTGAGATAGCTTCTGTTGTTCAAACAGGTAATAGCGTGACTTGTTTCTCCCAATCTTCATCCTCTGAGTTTTGGGTCATTGATTCAGGTGCATCAGATCATATTTCTGGTAACAAATCTCTTTTCACTACTATTTCGTATTCTCAATCTCTTCCAAAAGTCACAATGGCCAATGGGTCTCAAACCATGGCAACTGCAATAGGTCAAGCAAGCCCACTTCCTTCCTTACCTTTAGATTCAGTCCTTTATGTTCCCAATAGTCCTTTTAATCTCATAGCTGTTAGTCGCTTAGCCAAATCACTTAAATGCGCTGTTTTATTTCTTGATGACCATGTTTTTATACAGGAACGCAGTACGGGGCGGATCATTGGTACCGGGCGTGAATCAAACGGACTTTATTACCTTATCCTTGCTAAATCACATGGACTCACATCTTGTCTTCCTTCTACAACTTGTCCTGTTACTGATTCACCAGATTTATTACATAAACGGTTGGGACATCCCAGTTTGTCAAAACTTCAGAAAATGGTATCTGGTTTATCTCACTTGTCAGCTCTAGAGTGTGAGTCATGTCAGCTCGGTAAGCATACCCGCTCCCATTTCCCTCGGCGTCTTGATAATCGAGCAGAGTCACCTTTTACTTTAGTCCATTCAGATGTTTGGGGTCCTAGTCGGGTCAGTTCCACCTTAGGATTCCGCTACTTTGTCAGTTTCATTGATGATTATTCCAGGTGCACTTGGATATTTTTGATAAAAAATCGATCTGAGCTGTTTTCTATTTTCCAGACCTTCCACGCTGAAATTCAAAATCAATTTGGGGTTTCTATTCGCACATTTCGTAGTGATAATGCCCGAGAGTATTTGTCTTCCCCATTTCAGCAGTTTATGAAATCTCATGGGATTATTCATCAAACATCTTGTCCGTACACATCTCAACAAAATGGGGTAGCTGAAAGAAAGAATAGACATCTTATTGAAACTGCTCGTACCCTACTCATACAATCTCATGCTCCGTTGCGTTTTTGGGGGGATGCCGTTCTTACATCTTGCTATCTTATTAATCGTATGCCATCTTCAGCTATCCAGAACCAAGTTCCATTCTCTGTCATGTTTCCCCACTTACCTTTGTTCTCTCTTCCACCCCGTATCTTTGGAAGCACTTGTTTTGTCCATAACCTTACTCCAGGAACAGATAAGTTAGCTCCTCGTGCTCTTAAGTGCGTATTTCTGGGTTTCTCGAGAACACAAAAGGGGTATCGATGCTACTCTCCTGACCTCCAGCGGTACCTTATGTCCGCTGATGTTACCTTCTTTGAAACCCAATCATACTTCACAGGTTCAGGTCATCACTTAGATATTTCTGAGGTACTACCAGTTTCATCTTTTGGAGATTCAGTCACTCCAGCTCCACCACCTACAGCTCCAGTTGTAGCTCCACCACCTATAGCTCCAGTTGTAGCTCTACCACCTATAGCTCCAGTTCCACCACCTACAGCTCCGGTTGTAGCTCCACCACCTATAGCTCCAGTTCCTCCACATAATCCAGTTCAACCTTCTGCAGCTCCACCACTCTTGACTTATCATCGTCGTCCACATCCAGCATCAGGCCCAGGTGATTCACGCCCCGCATCAGATTCTGCACCTACTGCGGACTTGTCTCCTCTTAGTCAACCAATTGCACTCCGCAAAGGTGTACGATCCACACTTAATCCTAATCCCCACTATGTCGGTTTAAGTTATCATCGTCTGTCGTCACCACATTATGCTTTTATATCTTCTTTGTCCACTGTTTCTATCCCTAAGTCTACAGGTGAGGCACTATCTCATCCAGGATGGCGACATGCTATGATTGACGAGATGTCTGCTTTACATGCGAGTGACACTTGGGAGCTTGTTCCTCTTCCTGCAGGTAAGTCTACTGTTGGTTGTCGTTGGGTTTATGCAGTCAAAGTCGGCCCGGATGGCCAGGTTGATCGGCTTAAGGCTCGTCTTGTTGCAAAAGGATATACTCAGATTTTTGGGCTTGATTATAGTGATACTTTCTCTCCCGTGGCTAAAGTAGCATCTATTCGTCTCTTTTTGTCCATGGCTGCTGTACGTCATTGGCCTCTTTATCAGTTAGACATTAAGAATGCTTTTCTCCACGATGATCTTGAGGAAGAAGTTTATATGGAGCAACCACCTGGTTTTGTTGCTCAGGGGGAGTTTAATGGTTGTGTGTGCAGATTGCGCAAGTCACTATATGGTTTGAAACAGTCCCCTCGAGCTTGGTTTGGTAAGTTCAGCACAATTATTCAGGAGTTCGGCATGACTCGTAGTGAGGCTGATCACTCTGTGTTTTATCGGCATTCTGCTCCTAATCTGTGTATTTATTTAGTGGTTTATGTTGATGATATTATTATTACTGGTAATGATCAGGATGGTATTACTAATCTGAAGCAACATCTCTTTCAGCACTTCCAGACTAAGGATCTGGGCAGATTGAAGTATTTTCTAGGTATTGAGGTCGCTCAGTCTAGCTCAGGTATTGTTATTTCACAACGGAAGTATGCCTTAGACATTCTTGAGGAGACTGGAATGATGGGTTGCAGACCTATTGACTCTCCTATGGATCAAAATGTTAAGCTTCTGCCTGGACAGGGGGAGCCTCTTAGAGACCCTACGAGATATAGGAGGTTGGTTGGNTTGAATTACCTCACAGTGACTAGACCTGACATTTCTTTTCCGGTGAGTGTTGTAAGTCAGTTTATGGATTCTCCATGTGATAGTCACTGGGATGCAGTTGTTCGCATTCTTTGGTATATAAAGTCAGCTCCAGGCAAAGGATTACTATTCGAGGATCGAGGCCACGAGCAGATTATTGGGTACATAGATGCTGATTGGGCAGGATCATCTTTTGATATACGTTCTATGTCTGGATATTGTGTTCTAGTAGGAGGTAATTTGGTCTCGTGGAAGAGCAAGAAACAGAATGTAGTTGCTCGATCTAGCGCCGAAGC